ATTGGTAGCTCTAATAGTCGAAGGATACAAGTATGAATGGCGAGTTATTGTTAAGGCTTACGTAACATTTGCTTCGCTTATAGTAAAGTGCTCTAACGTTCTACACGAACAAATAATCAAGCGTAGAAGAATAAACTGTAAAAAATGGTATTGCCTATTCCGCTGTAAAGTTACGATATACAAAAAGGGGTCAGAGTTGAAGTCTTAACAGCAGTTGTGGTTTAAGTGAATAGAAACGTATACCAAAAATATCGAAAAATACTGTTTGATTGCATAAAACTACTAGCTCATAAACTCAGCGTAACGCCGATCAACGGATATTTCCCGTACTTATTTTCTCCAGGACCTGAAAGTGTCCATGCTACTGCTTACATTCCTACTCCTGTTCACACCAGTCCTCACCAGTTCTAGTCCTAGTGGAGTCCTGATCACTCCTTGTCCACTCGTGCTCAAGTTCCCGTTACCATCCCGTCCCCCGACTTTCACCTAACTCGATCCAATGCTATTTTTTCCCGTCGTTACATATTTTTCTATTATTTAGTTGTGATATTATGTGTTTGCTTAAAATTAGGCCAATTTGAATATTTGTTTAAAATGCGTTCCTTGTAAACTAAATCAATTTTATTCCAATGGAATGTTTTAATTATTTACCGTACGAATAGAATTATCTGGAATCTCCAATAGCCAGCATCAGAGGTTGACGTCGACAAATTTTAGGATGCGGCGGCTACAACTTCTGCCGCCGTCGGAGGCACGGCGTGGCTTGCAGGGTGCCCTTCTTTGCCTTCGGTCAGCAGGGTGTCCCGACGAGGTGGTAAGGTATAGATAAACCTGTTAGTGAAACTGTAAATACGTAGAAAGTTAAGAAATACATATTCATGCACCCAAGGGTCCAGTCAGTCGTCTCGATATTTAAAAGCTGTTTCACGTACCCAGCATAATTTTATTTTTGAACCTTTCTCAACCTTTTTTCTTTGACATTACCGTTAAAATTCATATAAGGTACATAAATTTTGGCATCGTCATTTTGGCTGTGAAAAAAAGTGGCTCGTGCTTAAACTTTAAAAATGTCACCTTTGCCTTCATATTTCTGAGTACACTCTAAAAATTGTTTTTACCCTTTTGAAAAGTAAGTACACACTTAATTCTGTATAAGATCAATTAACCAGAACTTGATCAGGTGCAAAATTAATCTGTACTTAATTTCGTTTCTTAGGACACAATTTCCAGCACACTAATGTTCAAAAGATTAGCATTTTTTTTTAAATGTAAAGTGATCTGGGAAACAACATTGCAATAAATGGTGGTCCGTACCTTGTCCACTGCGACATTTTAGTATATGGTATGTTCAAGATGACAAAATTATTTACTTGTACATACTCGTCACTCGAAGTTGTACTGTTGCTAGAATCACAATGGGACCAGCCTGCAATCATTGTGAGGAAGTTAGTATTTTAATTGCAAATTTAGAACTGGACACAACGGTGCTCATCTGGGGTAAAGGTGACGGGGGAGCTGTTTTGTTTGCCAATCTTGAATAATGAAAGGACGTACAAAAGTAAAAAAGTTGCAAATTTGCGGAAAAAATTACGTTTTGTATTATAAATTTTGACAGATTTTGAACTAAAGAACGTCCGGGAATGAATGGGAATGGTCTGAAAATGTGGTCATAAAATCACAATGAGTTATCGGAATTTTAAACTTTTTGCATATGTATAATACCAAATACGTACCTACATAATTTAATTAATAGCTAAGGCCGCCACACCCCCGTTGGCGACTAGTTCGATTTTCTTGCGAAGATTTTTCATTAAATTTTTTCCCGAAGTTTTTGCCACTTCCGAGGTGATTTTCTTCCATCGTCCTTTGAATTTTCGAAAGGTGTCAGGCACATCTTGAAGCCGGGAGTATACTGACTTAGAACGTGCCCAGAATTTTTCGATTGGGCGGAGTTGGGGTACATTAGGTGGGTTGATATCTTTTGGTACGAAATCAATATTTTTCTTTCTGAGGTACTCGGTCACTTTCTTTGCATAATGACAAGTGGCGAGGTCAGGCCAAAACAAAACTTTATCATTTTTGTGAAACCTATTAATAAATGCTTCCAATCCAGCCTTGACGCAATTTTTCAGATAAATATCTTGATTGATATTCCCTTCGAGAACTACCGGGTCTGATACATGTCCGTGACTGGAGATGCATTGCCAAATGCAATATTTCTTTGGAAATTTGTCTTTTTTTCGTACTTTTTCTTCATAAGCCACTTAGAGGGATCCGAGCTATGAAAAAAATGACGCCCTGGAAGATTTGAAGGGTCAACCGGAACATACGTTTCGTCATCCAGGATCACTACTTTTCCACGCATTTTCTTCAACAATTTTTGACAGCAATCCTTGATCCGACTTTCTTGTACGGGCTTGTAATTTGGTGCAGGTTTTTTGGTCCTTGCTTTGATTCCTAATTTATGGACCTTAATTTCCCCCAGGTAGCTTTTGGAAATTTTGACTTTCCTGGCAGCTACAGCTACTGACGTTGATGGCTTGGTTTTGAAAATTTTTTCAATTCTATTTTTCACTCGAGTGGTCGCTAGCTTCGCCGGACGACCAGCTGGCTTCTTGAATTGCACATTTTCGGAATCCTTGAACTTTTTTATGTAGGAATACACATTTGAACTTGGAATTCCTTCCTGCTTAAAAAAGTTCCAGGTCACCTTGGAGTCTCGGTTGGCTGTCGTGTTGTAGAACTCCATCACTCGTTTTGCTAACAGCTCCCTTTCAAACAAGCTTCTTCTACCCTTATCCATTTTTGAAATTTAAGAGTGATATACCAAATTGACCCTAATGAAGTGGGCTTTCAGAAATTTAAATTATTATAGTTCGCGGGTTTATTGATTTGTCAATATACTCGCTAGAGCGCGCATTCCCATTCATTCCCGGACGTTCTTTAGTTTGATTAATTAATGTGTGTTAAATCGTCTTCAAATCTTTGAAATAAAGCTTGTGCATAATTTGTACATTGATTTTGTTTATTTATTTATTTTGAGTTATCTCAGACTAATTTTTAGTAAGAATTAGTATTTAAGGGTAAATTATTCAGTAGGTTCAATTAACAAAATTATGCGGGCTAATTAGATTTTTTTAATAAATCTAGTATCAAATTAGTTTCATATTTATAACGAAAAATCGTGTGTTCCCTTACATATGGATAAATTTGGTATTAATTGATCTGATAGAAGTAGGCAAAGTGGAATTAAAATATTTGACATTTGTTCCTACTTGGCCCACAGTAACTGTGAGTCTCAGGTAAACGAAAAAAATACGGGTCCACTTATTTTTGAGCGTGAACAATTTAAAATTAGTCCGGTGGATATCGGCGATAACCACCTACACCTCGTCATTGTCAGTATTGTAGGAAATGTATTTAACTCACAACTAGTAAATCCTTCAGCTTGGACAAAGAAGTGGGTCCGACAAAGAACTTTCTCTTTTCGCATAAACCCATACCCTACTCGGTAGTCTTCAAAGAAGGAAATGTGGACCAGATTCATAAAATGCTAATACATAAAAGCATAACCCTACACTGTAAATAATCTAGTACATTACCGAAAAGCACAAGTATATGACTCTACCAAAGTGATAATGATAAGTTTCGTAGCGTGGTAATGGCTTGGTAAGAAAGTTTTACCATCATGGTAACGAATTTTTACTACTTGGTAAAATATTATTATCAAATTTTATACCAAGAAAACAGCTGCGTGACTTTACCGGATTATTAAGAGTGCATTCCAGAGAATGCACCAAACCAGTTTTATGTTTTGCAATGATGCGCGAAGGGTTCCCTTGACTACTTGGAAATGGGAAAAGGGTACTTAACAAAAGAATATGTAGGTATTTCTCCTTAAGGAAATGTTCTTGACCTTAATCTTGAGAAATTTTTAGTTTTGAAAACTTAACATAAATACGTGTAATCATCGTATTTTCAAGTCTACACGATTTTCTGATTGCCAAACTTTTTAATGTAGTTTAGCGATAACATTTCTTACAACGACGCATATTTTTTTACTCAAGCTTCACAAAACTATGCTCGGCGCATTATTAATGGTCGTTTTTTGCGTTTTGTTTTGTCTTTTCTTGCTCTATACTAGATAATTAGCCTAGTAGCACGCTGCTTTGCAAAAAAGTTTTGGAAATTTTAAAATTTAAAAAATGATCAAATGGTGTGAATTTCAATCCATAATGTTATTAAACATTGGAAGATGGGCCATTTCAGTTTTGCAAGAAATGAAAAAACGACTATCAATTTTACACAGACCATAGCTGCTCTCTTTCACTGAAAAAATACAGACATATCAAAATTGTCACATTATTATAAAGTTAGTACAAATATGTACCCGTACCTGTTAGATCGATCACCATGTTAATCAGACAAGCCCATCACTACCTGCATACACTCTAAATAAAAATGAGTACAATTTATTTGATATCCTATTTTGCACGGTTTGAGAGGAAATTTTTTAAATTACAATTTATTGATAGCTTTCGGATCTTCTTGATTCTTCTTCAGGCAATTGATTGCATAAAATATGTGAAATGTACAAATACAAATTTCTGTATCTTAATAATAGAAAATTATTACTCATTAAAAAAATATAATTATTTTTATTTCATTAAAATTTGCTAAGATTGCGTGAAAAGGAGGATGACGCAACCCAAAGGCAGAATTTGTCCAAATTTGTGTAAAATTTGCCCAACGTTGGGTAAATTTTACCTTTCGGTTGTGTCATCCTCTTTTTACTTAACCTTTAGTATATTTTACTCACCTTTATTCAGAGTGTAAATATGGGACGAAGTTTATTCAGGAAAGAGAAATCGAACCTTTTCTCCTGAAAGAAACGTCCTTCACCTTAAACTTTAAACCTTTTTATTTTTACCCATAATTTTAACTACAGGCTTCTCTAAGGCTTGTTACATATTCTCAAACTTTCCGTATAAAAAACCTTTCCAAATCCATCCCTTACTTTAGTCTCAATTCCTACTTCTCTCTTCCTGGTTGAATTTAATTTCTAACCTTGTCTCAAAGTTGAAAGTATTTTATCCCCAAACAATTTGGAAATGGGAAAAATCGCCCTTCTTCTTCTTGTCGTGTTTTTAGCAAATTGTGCATCTGGGTCGGAACCGCATTTTAAGGGAAGGATGGCAAGAACAGCAACGATTGTAAGTAGAATTTCTCCACATTTCTAGAAATAAAACAAAATTTGAAAAATTTGTTACCGACCTCACAATCAAGAATGAATCTATTAATGTATTTATGTACAGGGTGGTTTAAATGTCACGTTACAATGGAAAATTTTTCAATGGGAAAAATTCATAAATTTCCAGTAGTTACGGATTTAGGATTGAGATTTTTGTTAATTTTTATCAAAACTTATGGAACACGGATAACAAAATTCTTAAAATATTGAATTTCAGAGGCAAAATTTCGTTAACTAGTGGAGATTTGCGAATTTTTCCTATTGAAAATTTTCCATTGTAACCTGACATTTAAACCACCCTGTACTCCCCATTTTCCTTTAGAGTCCTAATTTTTCGGAGAAGAGGATGCGGAATTTAGGCGGATATAAGAGTGGTGGTAAAAACAGTCTTCTTTACGCCACCAGAGTTCAGGGATCCATGATCGTGGGCTCATATTATGGAGACGATGGTTCCGTCTGGAGCCAGGTGGAACCGAGCGTGAGTTAATGACGGACTTCAGTTTAAAATAAGTGACTACACTCTTATCAAAACGAGGAGCCCACATGACTTAACCAAATTGTGAAAATATTTTACCCCACAGAGAGGTTGAGCTAGAGTACATGATTGTAAGAAAATCATTGTAGTCTAGAATCACAATCACAATCTATGATTGTATGTTCATGAGGTTGAGCAAGAGTATGTGATGGGAGGATTGTAATTCTCATTAATCTCCGGCGGCAGATTTTAAATTCCTGCAAGTTGGGTAGTTGGGTATATGAGTACAATACAATGCTGCCTGGAGACGGAGATTTGTAATCCTAAGTGTGACTAAAAGTCTGACTAATTCTGATTTTCCCGCTGTGTTTACAATCGCAAAATACAATCATGTACTCTTGCTCAACCTCTCTATTGTGATAAATCTTCCCCACAATGTGTAAACGTAACACTAGATAGTGAGGATTTAACGCACTGTGGGGAAGATTTATCACAATATGGGGTAAAATATTATCACAATTTGGTTAAGTCATGTGGGCTCCCCGTTTTGCTAAGAGTGTTAAACTTGGGAAAATAATTTTTATTGTTATCACAGGGATACCCTTACAAAGGATATTTTCATTTTGTCAACAAATTGACTGGATACTGCCTCCAAGCGGGGAGTTCCACTGGTTATGGCGTCGTTGAGAATGAGGACAGAGCCGTCATCATGCCCTGTGATGGGGGTGAACCGACACAAATATTCTCCAACGCAGACTATTACGGGGTATGCACAATACTTTATAAATTTTAACGCGAAATGACGTCGTTTTCATTAATACGGCATCCTCTTTTGCCGCATTGCGGGGCCGGTTTGCCATTTTGTCTATCCTGTCCCCGGAAAACGGCAACCCGCCATAAAAAAAAATGCTGGGATAAGGCGGCAATTGACGGCATACCATTTTGCCAGCGAGTAAACTGACTGAGGGTAAAATGATATTATACACTTCACAAATTTAAAGGTTGGCACAGAGCAGTTTAAAGATCTCAGTAGCGGGAAATGCCTCACGATGGAAGTGGACACGAGTGAGGTGTACATGTATGACTGCGGCTATTACAATGATAACCAATGGTAATTGTTAATTTTTGCCTTATTTCTGTTTTTTATATTAATTTATAAGTACTTTTTGTGTTTTGTGTTTCGATATCAGTAATTAGTTTTTCTGTGCTTAATCCACTCTTTAATTTCTTGCAGGTGGGACATGTTCAGGGGTTGGTAATCCCGTCCAGTTGGAGAAATTTCGTTCTCTCATTGCCTTAATCATGCAACGGGCATATTTGTTCTATTTATATGCACTGGTTGTTGTTCACTTGGTATTTTAAATAAGTTTTTGTAATAAATTAATTTCTCAGCTAAAAAATATTTAAATGTTTTGTTACGATATGTATTCCATGCATCTTGTTTAGGAGTATGACAATGTATGTATAACGTATAAGCATCTGCAGCACAATAGAAGTCTTCCTGCTTACATATGCACTTTGTCCAACTATTTTTTGCTCGTACATATGTACATAGTACTCCGGACTCGGAGTACGTACTCGCGTACTCCGGAGGCCGGAGTACGCGACTTTTTCTGGAGTAAGCAGTACGCGGAGGCCGGAGTACGGAGTATGCAAATTTCCGATCGCATAGATAGGAGTACTCCGGAGGCCGGAGTAATTACAGGATTTTATGAAGACAAAAGGTTGGAAACTTGAGGAACAGATTTTGTTTTTTAAATCAGTTTAGGCAAATTTTGTAGTACGTGGGATAATTCATGTGGGGTAAAATCATATGTATGTAAATCTTCGAAATAAAGCTTATGCACGATTGGTGGATTTATTTTGTTTATTCATTTTGGGGTAGTCCTAGGCAAATTTTTATTAAGTAGCGTCAGCTACTTATTGCGATCGTTTTGTACGTCCGTCCGTCTGTCCGTCCGTCCGTCTGTCCGTCCGTCCGTAAGCAGGATATCTCCAGATAGAGTCGACATAATCAAATTCCGTTTTCGACATTGTGTTTCTAATTTTTAGTTCTCGGTCGAGTTCGATAATGGGGTCAATCGGACCACACCCCACTGCGCCAGGGGGTGTGGTCAAGATTAAATTTAACCTTAATTTTCATGTGGGGTGTCATTTTAAAGGAAATTTTACCACGAATTCAAAGATGTTAATAGTTTTGACCTTATGACCTTGATGGCTAGGTCAGAGGTCAGAAAACACGTAATTGTCATATGGGGTGTCGTTTTAAAGGAAATTTGACTGCGATTTCAAGGGCGTTAATATTTTTGAACTCATGACCGTTAGGACGAGGTCATATACGGAGAAACGTTAAAGGAAACTAGAATCGCTCTGACGCTACTTATTTACATTCGTTTGGTGGGTTTATTTGGGAATACTATTATAATTGGAAATTATTCATTAACTTAATGAACAAAATTAGAAAGGTTGATGAGATTTTGCTTATAAATCTGGATTTTAAGTATCGAATTAGTTGCATATGTATAACGAAATATCGTATTTTCCCATACATAAATGCGATATTATTTAATCTACTTGAAGTAGGCAAATTCGAATAAAAATAATATTACTTGACATTTATTTACGATGTTAGTTTGACGCACGGTATTGCGTTTTCTTAGCCTCTTGTTCATTGCCTTCATGGTTTAATGAGAATTAACTGGGATGATGGTAGCTAAATTGCATAGGGTGGTGTTTATGTTATTTTAACTAATGAGGCTCAAAGCACACTCAACCAAAAGTACACTAGCGAATAAATTCAAAATTCTGCACGATGCTTGACTTTCTGTTTATGTTTTTGCGCCACTTAATTAACAGAATTTCAACCACTAAAAAAATAAGGCTAGTGCTTAAACAAACCCCGAATATATAGAAACCCGCCATAATCTTGGAGTTGTAGTTAAGCTGTGACACACCACCAAATTTAGGATACTTCCAATTTGCATAGTGGTGAAACAGTTTGGTGGATTTAGCAGCTGTATACCAGGCGAACCAGTGGACATAAATTCCTGAAGTGGTTATGCCTTTGAGCCGTTTCAGGGCGTAATTTGCCCTAATCGGTAAATTGTACCAGCCTAGGGTCGCCGAGAAGAGGGGCTCGTTCCCCATCAGATAATTTTTCTGATCCATATTGTCGTTTACAAAAGGTAATAACGAAGCAATGTTTTCCTTCGTATCGAGGAACGCGGTTTTCTCACAGGTCGACAATGTTTGGATGAATCGATCCGCCTCGTTGTATTTGATTGGCTTGAACGGGGAAACTGGCAGGATGTTGTGGTAAGAGATATTTTCAACCTGCTGAATGTACGTGTCTGCTGAAAAGATTCGCATGTTGACCCTAGGCCGTAGACTATGAGCCAGTTTAAGGTTGTTCTCTATGCGTCGCACCATGTTTTTGAAGCCATTTGAAATCGTTTTCGACTCTTGGATCCGCCTGGAAGAAAATGATCGCAAATATTTATACCATGATTGTTAGACAACTAAAATTTGAAAATATGTGGTTTCCGTGAAATTTAAAGGAACAAGTCAGTTTAGAAACTATCAGAAATAATAAGATTGATTTTAGGCGGCTCGAGCGTGTTCATCGAATCAGCTCTACTCTAATACAGTGTATGTAGTTACATCTCTCGCTCATCAGTCGCTACGTCTACTTATTACTCATTAATGTATGCATTATTCTGCATATGTTCATAGAGCCGTTATTGATCATGGCCAACTTCATTGTGCATTAACAGTTAGATAAATTAATAGAAAAACTTACTCCTGGCCGTAGATGTACGGGACAAAGAAATTATGTACAGAGTCCAAGAAATCCATGTAGCTATTCCTATCTGGTGCGAGCAAGTCGAACGGCATAATCACCTGAATTCCGTCTATTTCAAGAAGCGTCTTCCACGGCTGAGCGTGTGAAGCTGGTACAATCATTTCCATCGTGAATAAAGTTTTGAACCAATTTGTTAACACGTTTCCTGTTAAAAGCATCCACACGCCGAGCAATAGATGTACTCCAACCTTCTTGGGAAATTTAATTGAGCAATGCATCACTGAGTTCTCTAGAAATATTCCGACCGCAACTAAGACCCCATCCAAAGTGAGATTTGGCAACAATAGACTTAAAATTATACTGGTTAACAGGAGACCCAACCCTACACAAGTCCATGCCGAAATGTCGAACGGTTCTGTTAGCGCGGTTAGAAAAAATGTTTCTGGTTTAACATTGTGGCACGACAAGAAACTTGCCGTCTGGATGTGCCCCACTACAAAGTCGAACTGCGTTCTGTGACCAGTTGAAAGTGTAGTTAATATCGGGAAGATGTAGAATGCTGTGATGTTTAAACTTTTGTATTTGCTGGCCTCATTTGATACCCAGAGGTCCATTGCTTGCACTAAATTTATTAACAGGGTTGGCTCAATCCAGTTATTTTGATAGGGTGGGGTCTTCTTATGTGATTCCGCCTTGTCTGACTTGGCAACTTGGTTGTCAGTTTTATACTGATTTGATAAAGGCTTCCAAAAATACTTGTTGAGGTTTGACACAGCCTCACGAATAATTTGTAACTCGTTAAAGCAGTTTTGGGGTTCACACAACACTTTAATCCACCTACTGGATTCTTCGTCCAGCACGATTATTCCTTCGTGATGGTACATATTATGATAATAGAACGTTAAAACGTCAGAAGTTTGATTGCTAGCCCAAATCATCCCGGTAACGTCTACCGTGACTTCAATAATCATGATTTCCTTAGGACTGTATAAGTAATACTTGTGAAAGTCAACCCGTAAATTTTGGACGAATCTTTGAAATAACGTTTTGGAGTTGGTAACCAGAATGAAATATTGTATACCGAAAGACGATCTTATGCCGTGTGTCCAGTCCAAATTTTTTTTGGGATTGGGTGGGTAGGGCAGTATGCGAAATGAAGCGGAACAATATTGGGACGTATTTCTTCGTAGGACAGGAAATCTTTTAAAGTTATAAAATCGTCGGTTAAAGAGGACGATGGGTGCCTTGTCTAATTTTAGGTTTTGAATAGTTCTTCTCGGTATAACGATTATGTTGTTGCAGCTTTCAAAGGGTGTCAAGTAATGGGAAATTTCTATTTGACGTGGTGACAGTGCAGCCAAATTGTGAAATTCTGCTTGAACAATGGAGAAGAAATTTACAATAAGGAATCGCCAATAGATTTGGGATTTGTACGGGAATATTCTTGAAGAGATGGGTCTCTCTTGTCTCAAAATTTGAGTTTTTGCGAAGTACGATAGCATTTCTAAGATGCTTTTGTGGAAGTTGCTAGTTGATTAGATATGTACGTAGTTGTAATTAAGTCTGCCGATTAGTATGTGAAATGCTAAAGCTGTAGGCAGTGGAAAATTGTTAATTTTCCGTGTTTTCTAGTACCGTTCACGATCTGGAGCCTGCTCCGATCGATAACGGTGAGCCGAGCTACATCATATGTCGACACATATTATGTGTCGACCAGCAACTCCATCAGTAGACTAAGCAGCTTTATATAATTAACGAGCCGGGCCAGCTCGTTGGCTTGATTTGCCTGCGAAAATTCCTCCCAATTTGGGCAGAGCCAGAACCTCAGGCTGGCTCGAATAAGTAATTGACTTACTGTAAATCAGCTGACGGTTCATTAATTGTCAAGTCGAGTCTGGCCAAGGTCCACCTTTCCTTACAGGCTGGACTAACGTTTTCTCTGTTTACACGGTTTAAGAGGGATGAGCTACCGTTAAAAAATTTTACATGTGTATTTACATACGTGTTGTCGTAATTTAACTAAATTTTCAAGGTTGACACATTTACTTTGCGAGGAAAGTATGTATCCATACCCAAAATTGTGGATGTTGCTATACCTTTAACTTTATGAATGCCTGATTAGTCTTGTTAAAAGTTTTGTTAAATAGCTCCAGTGACATTTAAGTTGCCGTCCTCACGTGGGCGTTGTTGAAGCTAGATACTTCCTTATGTGAATTTGCAGTGGTTTACGAAGAGGTAAATAAGATAATTACATATCTACCTGGCTACTTTTGTTCGAAAAACTACAAATTACTTGCATCCTGAACTTAGCCCAATTAAAAGGTCGATATATGTATGCTCGACGAATTATGTATATCCTGTTCTTGTCCTGACAAAAGTTTAAAAGGTGTAATAATTACTTAAAAAGGTTGCACCCTTTAAATAAATTCCATTAGAATTTTCCCAACGTTGGGTTAAATTTTATGTACGGGGGTACAACTGGTCATGAATTGAAATATTCAGAAAAATAATTGTAATCTATTTACATAATACTCAAAATCATTTGTCTAAGTTCTCGAGCACACTGCCATAATTTGTCATGTGAATAAAAATGAACAGCT